CAGCGTGTGGTGGTAGTGTGTGATGGTACAGTGTGTGGTGGTAGTGTGTGACGGTACAGTGTGTGGTGGTAGTGTGTGATGGTACAGTGTGTGGTGGTAGTGTGTGGCGGTACAGTGTGTGGTGGTAGTGTGTGATGGTACAGTGTGTGGTGGTAGTGTGTGGCGGTACAGTGTGTGGTGGTAGTGTGTGACGGTACAGCGTGTGGTGGTAGTGTGTGTGGTGGTAGTGTGTGACGGTACAATGAGATGGTACAATATTTACGTAGGTGGAAAGAACGATGCGATCCCTTCCCTCCCTCCCTCCCTCCATCAGGTTACCATGACAACACTCAACAGTTTCAGGTCTATACTATACACTATTGTTTTGCCTGTGGTGGTGGTTATGGTGGTGAGTTGTGCTTCTACCACCACACTCCCAGTCCTACTATATAATGGTGTCAGGCTTCCAACACTGTTACCACCACTACCACCACACTCCCAGTCCTACTATATAATGGTGTCAGGCTTCCAACACTCCCAGTCCTACTATATAATGGTGTCAGGCTTCCAACACTGTTACCACCACACTCCCAGTCCTACTATATAATGGTGTCAGGCTTCCAACACTGTTACCACCACTACCACCACACTCCCAGTCCTACTATATAATGGTGTCAGGCTTCCAACACTGTTACCACCACTACCAACACAATCTCAGTCGTACCAAACAAGAACAAACCCTTCAAGAACTTAATTTTAAACTTGTTACTTAAATTAAAGCAGTAAAATAAATGAAGGTTTACTGTACCCTGGTTGTGTTTTACTGCTCTTGGACCTAACTTGACGCTTGTTCTCTGTGGTGGAGACGTGAGGGTGTGGTGGAGGCGTCAGGGTGTGGTGGAGATGTGGTGGAGACGTCAGGGTGTGGTGGAGGCTTGAAGGTGTGGATGATCCTGGCTGTGGTGGAGACGTGAGGGTGTGGATGGTCCTGGCTGTGGTGGAGACGTGAGGGTGTGGATGGTCGGCTGTCAATGGATGGATGGCGTGACCGGGTACTGTGTGACCAGATGAAGAGAGGGAGGGTAGGTAGGCAGGGAGACGGAGATAGGTAGGGAGGGAAACAGGGAGGGAGGGAGAGAGATAGGCAGGGAGAGAGGTAGGTAGAGAGGTAGGGAGGGGGGAGGTAGGTAGGTAAGGAAACAGGCAGGGGGGTAGCGTTAGGGTGTTTTAATTAACAGGTGAAATAAGCTGGGGTGTCTAATCTTCAGGTGATACAAAAATTTACATTGTTCTTAGGCAGTAAATCACAAAGGGTAGGTATAGTGGACAACCCCTTGACACACTGGCGTTGTTTATATGACACAACACACACACGACACAAAACACATGACACAACATACACACACACACACACACACACACACACACACACACACCAAAACACACAAACACTACACACCAAACACACAACAACAAACACAACATACACACACACACACACACACACACACACACAAACACGACTCACCAAACACTCGCCGTAAAAATAAACTACTGACATATATTATTTCCTTGTCCAGTTTACATTAATATCGAGTAGTTGCGTCAAAGACATTTTTTTAATCATTATTTAAGTGTTACATTATTGGCCATTTGCTTTTAGATTGAACACCACCCGACAAACTGGATATATGAAATTATTATATAGTTTTTGGTTATATAATGTTACTTTCTGGTGAACAAATTATATATAGATGAAACTATAAACCTCTGCCATTAAAACCAGCTGGTCTTTAAAGGGGAGGGGGGGGGTAGAGACCATTGGTTATCATCGTGTAGGTAATGTTTATACCTCGTGTGACGTCATTAGCCATCCGTGTATATCTGGGTCTTGATGGCGATAATATTTTGAATTAAGTTTTGAGGAAAGTTATTTATTATTATTATTATTATTATTATTATTATTATTATTATAGTCCGAGTCTGTGATTGTGTAAGTGACTCTCTCTCTCTCTCTCTCTCTCTCTCGATACAATTTCTATAACAACAACAAAAATTTAATTGGTTTTATATTTTTGGACAAGACTACATTGTGTAAACTGCGTCACGCTCTGGTCCAACACTGTAACACTGACATAAGATGGTCTGTGTGTGTGGGGTGGAAGGGAAGGAATCAGAAGGGAGGAGGAATCAGAGGGAAGGAAGGTAAAGTAGAGGGAGGAGGAATCAGGTGAAGGGAGGGAGGGAATCGAGTGAAGGGAGGGAGGGAATCGAGTGAAGGGAGGGAGGGTAAAGTGGAGGGACACAGACCAGCAGGTAGCAGAGGAGAGTTTAATAGTGAGAAGATACACGACCACCTCCTCCATATTCCCCGCCTCGGTCATTATTTCCCCGCCTCGGTCATTATTTCCCCGCCTCGGTCATTATTTCCCCGCCTCGGTCATTATTTCCCCGCCTCGGTCATTATTTCCCCGCCTCGGTCATTATTTCCCCGCCTCGGGCATTATTTCCCCCTTGGTCATTATTTCCCCGCCTTGGTCATTATTTCCCCGCTTTGTTCATTATTTCCCCGCCTTGTTCATTATTTCCCCCTTGGTCATTATTTCCCCCATGGTCATTATTTTCCCACCTCAGATTTTTCCCCCGTCGTCCCCGTTCACTTACTGCCCCGGATGTTGTACTGTGTAATGCTGTTATTATTGATGTTATTGTTGTTATTACTAGTGTCTGTGTTGGTGGTGGTGGTTGCAGGTAGTTGTGGTAGTGCAGGTAGTAGTGATGGTTGTGGTGGTAGTGCAGATGGTGGTGGTGGTGCAGGTAGTAGTGGTTGTTGTGCAGGTAGTGGTGGTTGCAGGTAGTGGTTATTGTGCAAGTAGTGGTGGTGGTGGAAACGGTGTCAGCATCAGCAGAGTTAGCGAACGATGTCAGTAAGCGGCGTTTAGGGAGATATGTGGAGTGTCAGCAAGGTGGGAGGAAGTTAGATGAGATTTGATTGGGTTATATTAGGTTAGGTTAGTTAAGGTGAGGTAAGGATAAATTTGGTTAGGTTAGGTTTGGTTGGTAATGTTAGTCCTAATTACTACCTGTACTCTTAATTAAATACTTAATACCTATAATTATACTTATATTTTAAGGACTTTTTTAGTCTTAATATTTTTTGTCATTTTTTTCTCTATATCACAACACGAGTTTATGATGAACTTTTGGACAACTTTTGGGGGTCACAAAGTGGAGATCTAAACTGGGGTCAACTTCCGGGGTCACAGATTGGGGTCACTTGATTTGGGGCCGCAACTGAAGGGGGGGAGGGGGTCAAGGATTTTTAACCCCCAAAACGAGTGACTGACAAACTGCACAATCATCAGCAATGTCGGGAGGGTGTCAGCGCTGGTGTGTTGTGCTGACGTAATCGTGGTGGTGGGGGTTAGGGGAGTTGAAGGAGGGTAATTAGGGACACACTTGGGTAGTAATAATACCTTCAGTGTAGTGTAAGTCACGCTTATTCACACACACACACACACACACACCACTTAGTTGGGTATGACTCATCATTTTAGTCAGGTGTCAGCAGAGTATATGTCAGGCGCCAACAGGGTAATATGTCAGGCGTCAGCAGGGTATATGTCAGGTCTCAGCAACGTATATGTCAGGTGTCAGCAACAGGGGGGGGGAGGTTGCAGCGCAAGCCTTCCCACGTCAGCCAAGGAAGAGAGAGAGAGAGAGAGAGAGAGAGAGAGAGAGAGAGAGAGAGAGAGAGAGACCCCCATAACTCACCAACTATCAGCGGTCTTGTGTCTTGCCTCCTCGTTCATAAGTCACTAAATAATGTCTACTAAATTATCACCTTATCAAATACCTCTGCTTCTAAGCACTCGTAAAGTGTTATATCGCCCCCCACACACACCTTCCTTCCTGTTGGTTCGATCTAATACTTCTTCACCGCGTCTTGTACTGGATGTAAAGGGGTCCCAATAAACTAATCCTCGTGCCTGTGTTGAGAGAGAGAGAGAGAGAGAGAGAGAGAGAGAGAGAGAGAGAGAGAGAGAGTATATATATATTTATCGTGTCACCACCCATTCATTGATAGTCACAATAAATATTATGAAAAGTGTGTGTGTGTGTGTGTGTGTCATAGTTTATCTTAGGTCACTGAGATTGACTTAACGTCCATTCAGTGTCAGAAGAAAGTTAGGTCATAACAAGTCAGGTCAGGGGTAGGTTCTTCAGGTTTACTCCAGGGTCAAACGAGGTCAAGGCCAGGTTTTCCATTGTTCAATCAGGTCAGGTCAGGTCAGGTCAGGTCAGGTCAAGTGAGTCGTGGTATTGGGAGGTAATGGCTCCTTGACCTGCCTGGCTGACTCTCAATAAAGCATCGTAATTGCTATTGTAACCACCAATTATTTTGACTGGAATGAGCAGCTGCGCAACGTTGATGGTGGTAGTGGAAGTTATGCTGGTGGTGGTGGTAGTTGTAATGGAATTGTGGTAGTGGGGGTATGGTGATTGAAGGATGGTTGTGAGGTGGTGGTTGTGATGGAATAGTAGTAGTAGTGATAATGGCGTGATTGTATATGTTGTGGAGTGGTGGTTAATTGGTGGTTGTGGTGGAGTGGTGTTAGTAATGGTGGTTGTGATGATGATAGAATAGTGGACATGGTTGTACTGTAATGGGAGATATGATCAACACGTAATAAGGTCCACATGATAAACTGTTGGTGGACATTACACTCATACTGACACTCAGGGTTTTGTGGGGTTAAAGAAAACGTTGAGAGGAGATAGTCTTTAGCGGTGACTATGGTAATTACGGTGTTGGCGGCGTCACTGGTTTGATATATACAGTGTCATGGTAACGGTTCGCGGGCAGTGTCTGTGTCCACTCAAATCTCAGATGATGTGTTACTATTATTATTATTATTATTATTATTATTATTATTATTATTGTTGTTGTTGTTGTTACTTCTACTACTACTCGGTACAGTGTGTCAGACATGTGACTGACAGGTGTGTCTCTCCCCCAGGTGATGGTGACCCGGCTGGCGTGACAACACTGTAGGAGGGGGGGTGGAGGAGGAGGAGGAGGAGGAGGAGGAGTGACAGGCAGAGATGATGGATTCTTGGCGACCTAACCCAAAGGCGCCGCCCTTCGTGCCCCGACGGTCGTGTGAGGGTCGTCGGGATGGCACTCCTGGCGGCAACAGTGCCTACCACCGCCACCTGCCGCAGCTGCTGCCCCGAGGGAGGCGCCTGGCCAAGCTCCTACAGGTGGGTCCTCGTGTGTAATATTTCATCCACGGTAATCACGTCACAAGAGGAGTGAATGTCGTAGTTATTGTTGTTATTTAATGTTCTCGTCCAGGGCACCCCAGTTCACCCATATGTGAACAACTTGACAGATGGGGAAGTGAAGGTGGTTTAGTGCAGTGTTGTCTTAGTCTTCAGTGTGCTGTATCCACACTGCCTCTAACAGGCCACCAGGCGTTCGAGAACGAGTTTCTGTCAATATACGGACAAGAACAGATGGAGACACACACGACACACCTAAATAATGTTGTAAAATGTTATTATGTGGCACTTAAATGCAGAATAATACATCGGTTTTATGTTTAAAAGTACAAAAATAATACATCAGTTTTAGACCAACACTACTGACACCTTACCTAACCGAACGTAACGCTACGCTGACCAAAACAAGAGATCAGTGTTTCCAGAGAGAGTTGACCACTACTCCATCTGTCAGTTGATACACCATAACAAATACAGACACACTGACCAAACACAGGCTAATGACCACACGCTGTCTGTGAAGGTTAGTCAACAACTCGCCTCTATTGACGAGCAGTGTTTGGTTGTGTGGGTGAGGCAATAATACGTGTTGTTGTGGGAGAGAGAGAGAGAGAGAGAGAGAGAGAGAGAGAGAGTTGTGTATAAATGAACACCATGTAGCAGGGTTTCTCATACCGAGGTAGCTTACACTGTGGTGAAATACGTGGGGCACCTTTAGACAAACTTGCAATCCAGCGTGATAAGTCGACAGATGTGGGTAGTTGACGCATTTAAAAATAACAAAAGTGCTGGAAAACTACAGATGATGCAGCTAGTGGTGGCTCATCTGCTCTTCCTGCTAATGGAGTTGTGTTCTTACTTCCCAGAACTGAATGAGCTGGTAACATGCAACACGAATTCCTAGAGTTGGTGAATGTCTCTATTGCACAAGATTTATTTTAATCACTTCACCTGCTCTAAAATAACCGAGTCCTATCCTGCTGTGGCTGAGGTCGCTGCCAAGTAATTGCTGGTGTTCCCAAGTTCCTTTCTACGTGAGCAAGGATTCTCACCGTGTTTGACTAAATGTGGAAAATGATGATTGAGTCTCCTTATCCCACACTACTCTAGTACCCACATCCCTCAGTGCGCCTTACTTTACATAATGCGTTGCTGGGTAATAAAGGGATGTATGTGGAAGGTGGGACGTGTAGGTAGGTGGGTGGGTGGAGGGTTAAAGGCATTTGTGTGTGGGTGGAGTAATGTGAGTCGGTTGCCTTGGGTGATTATGTGGTATTGTGTGTGTGTGTGTGTGTGTGTGTGTGTTCTGGACTTGACTCACATTGACTAATATACAAGAATTAATTGTCTTACTTCAAATGAGTTACTAGAGACCTCGGTGTGGTTCCAGTACTGTGTGTCAGAAAAACTCACCCCGCTGTTATCTTCTGCAGGGAGGGCTGATGCTGGTGCTGGTGGCGACGATAGCCATCAACATCTCCTTCATCGTGGAGAAGACCAGACAACTGAAGGCGCCCATCACCACCACAGGTGAGTTACCGTAGTACCTACCACTACCTTGTATGATGGTAGTAGGTGGCCTGAGTTAGTACCCGCCACTACTACCACCCTCCTGTAGTATGATGGTAGTAGTATGATGGTAGTAGGTGGCCTGAGTTAGTACCCGCCACTACTACCACCCTCCTGTAGTATGATGGTAGTAGGTGGCCTGAGTTAGTACCCGCCACTACTACCACCCTCCTGTAGTATGATGGTAGTAGGTGGCCTGAGTTAGTACCCGCCACTACTACCACCCTCCTGTAGTATGATGGTAGTAGGTGGCCTGAGTTAGTACCCGACACTGCTACCACCCTCCTGTAGTATGATGGTAGTAGGTGGCCTGAGTTAGTACCCGCCACTACTACCACCCTCCTGTAGTATGATGGTAGTAGGTGGCCTTGCAGTGTATCATGGCTTATATACTGTACACCCCCCCCCCCCAAGGTTGCCAACTACACACAGCAACAGAAGAACCAGACAGTGACATAATAAAAATATACCTAAAGAAGATTTTTTTTTTCTTAATCTATTTTTAAAGTTTATTGTTCCCAAGATGTGAGGATCTGTTTGGCTGCACGCGCGCGCACACACACACACACCTGAATCACTGTTACCAACACTTTGTACACTCATCGTAGAGATAAACTTACCTTCTCCCAAACACTGTAAGAACATGACTCACACCTCAGGCCCAATAACCCCGTTAATATCACGTTGCAGGTAGTGATGGTGATGGGGGCGGCGCGGGTGTGGGTCGGAGGAACAACCTGCGGCTCCAGGAGTCACCGCCCAAGACCCTCACCGTCGACGTCGTGTCCAGCCAGAACCGTGTGGCTGTGACTGTTGACGGTGCCACGGTGAGTGTCTGTTGTTACCTGGCCAGGTGTGTCACGGTGCCAGGTGTATCACTTGCCCCTCACACACACACACACACATCACCTCCACTTTGTCTCTTGATAATTATCTTCCTTCTGTTTACACCGTTAGTCTAGCCAGCCTCCTCCCCCCACCACCAGCCTGTGGCATTATACCATTATGCTCCCCCAGGGTGCACTGCAGTGCCGCTCCCCTTGGCACTCCTCATGGTAGTGCTCTATGGCTTTCTCCCTGACAGTACCCTCGTTAGGCTCTCCCATAAAGCACCCCTTTGGCACTACCCATGACCCTCTGCCATGACATTCCCCTCATTCCTCCTTCCTCCCCCATATCCCCCCCGTACCTCCTCCCAGGCACTGTGGGAGGGGGAGGTGTTATCTGGGCACAAGTTAGCTGAGAGTGCCAGGTGGCAGTGTTGGAGGCACCGTGCCTCACCCACCAACCATCATTTTCATATCATATTCATTTCCTAATTAAAGGGAGACTGGTGACTTTCACGGCTCTAGGAGGCTGACTGGTGATTTACAGGACCCTGGTGAGGGAGATGTGGTGGTGAGGGAGGTGTGGAGGTGAGGAAAATGTGGTTGTGATGTTGAGGGAGTTGTGGTGAGGGAGGTGTGGTGGTGGTGAGGGAGGTGTGGTGGTGGTGAGGGAGTTGTGGTGGCGAGGGAGGTGTGGTGGTGGAGGTGAGGGAGGTGTGGTGGTGGTGAGGGAGATATGGTGGTGGTGAGGGAGATGTGGTGGTGGAGGTGTGGTGGAGGTGAGGGAAGTGTGGTGGTGGAGGTGTGGTGGTGAGGGAACTGTGGTGGTGGTGGGGGAAGGCTCATAACTCATCATCCATTAAGTCTTGTCTTGTCCGGAGGCCGCCTGAGTTACGACCCCGCCCTCATACCTCACAGCTGGCTCTCCTGTGGCCTCTTAGTGCCTCACAGCTGGCTCTCCTGTGGCCTCTTAGTGCCTCACAACTGGCTCTCGGTAATGTAAAATGTTCAATAATGGTAGAGTTCAATAAAGAAAGGGTCTCCCCCCAAGCCATGCCCATCAACTCGACAGCAGCCAATCAGGTCGCTGGAAACAAACAATACACCTCTAAGCTCCACCCACACCGATTTAGTTAGACTGGTTGAATTAATTATTGTTATAAAATGATGAATTTTTGCCATTGAAAATATTGAAAATTTTGAGGGATTCTGTTTGATGACTTTAGATAATGTTGTTGTTGTTGTCTGTGTGCTAGATTTTGTTTTAATGTTTTATGCTTTCACAGTGTTGTTGGGTGTGTTTTGTGTTGTGTGTTTGTGTTGTTAGTATGAGTGTTTGCGTTGTTAGTGAGTGTGTTGTATGTTTGTTATGTGTGCAGGCATTACAGATCATGAAGGAGTAAAAGTGTTGAGAGATTCACGTGTGTCTGGCCTTGTGAACCCTCCTCTACTTATTCGTGACCTCAGATGACCTAACTTGTCCTTTATGTGTGGCACAGATCGTGGAGGAGGGGGAGGAGACGAAGGGTCGAGGGATACACGTGGTGGTGCTACACCAGGCGAGCGGCGCCGTCATGGCTCAGCGGGTGTTCGACACTTACTCCCCCCACGAGGACGAGGCCATGACGCTCTTCCTCAACATGGTGTCCCCCGGCAGGATCCTCGTCCTCGCTATCAAGGTCAGTATTGCTCACCTCGTCCTTCAAGAATTAACTCTCTTAGCTCAGGCTATAGTTCAAGGTCATTCTTATTCACCCCATCCTTCAAGGTCACTATATATCAGCTTAGGTCATCCTCCAAGGTATCTTTAACACATCAGGTTATGCTTGTAGGTCAGCAGTCCAGCTCTCAACTCGTCCTCTTAACTCAGGTCAACCTTAATGACGACTGTTTTCACTGTTGTTATAAGATTATTACTGCTCTTCAACAACTAAGGTCTTTAAGTGTGTAACAAGGTTAGTAATTATACTATTACATCAACAATTAGAGATTATGAGAGATAGAACTCTGTGTGTGTGTTCACTCAAGTTATACTTCATCCTTTCTTTTAGCCCATCCTCCAGAGTCATTACAGGTCATCCTCCAGTGTCATTACAGGTCATCCTCCAGGCAGAATGTCATTGCATTTTCTTACCAGTTCTTCTGCACAGTTAGACAGTGATACAGATTAAGTATATAAGCTGTGGTATAGGATATAGAGACCGGGTGTAGTGAAGGGAAAACGTAACTTACCTACTGGCTGTAGCTACAGGCTGGGGGAAACCGCACCTATCTAGAGGCTGGTGTGCAGGTTGCAGGTACAGGCCTGAAGTAGTGCACAGGCATTTGTTTACATAACGGCCTGTGGCTGTTACGTAAGCTAAGTAATGGTTACAAAAATACGGTACTTTACAGATCGCAGTACAGGCCGTGTTAGGACAGGCCATGATACAGGTTGAAAGGCAGATCAGGCAGGACACACTATCCAGCAGTGTTAGTTTAGACAATGGCCCGCTAGCTGGTGGTGGCAGGAAATTAACTCGGGGTTATATTTTGAGACTTGGGTTTAGTGTTCGACGTTGTTGTTATCAGGCGTGGAGTGACTCTCTCTGTCTCTCGTGGTTGTGTTGCAGGGTATTAAATCGTTGTGTTTGTGTTGCAGGACGAAGGGACATTCCAGATGAAGGGCGGTGGGCATGATGCCCTGCGCCGCCTGGGCAGCACCCATGCCCACGAACTGGGCTGGCGGGACATGTGGGCGTTGGTGAGCGCTAAGGGCGGCAGGATGTACGCTGAGCAGCTCTCCCATAGCCCGGACTTTAACACCTGGGGCGCCCCGGTCATGCTTCGAGCAGAGGTCCCCCTTGTACCCCTCGAAGGTGAGTGACTGGTATATCAATGTAAATAAATGTTTATGTAATACTGTTAGTTTAGTTTAGATAAGTTTAACTTATCTTAGCTTAGTTTAGATAATGTATTCTGCCATCAAGACAAATGGTGTAAATATAAAATTACTCTTGAAATTTGTGTACCATCTGTTGTCTAGGCTAATAAGTGTATTAGACAGACAGACAGACAGACAGACAGACAGACAGACAGACAGACAGACAGACAGACAGAGAGACAGAGAGGGAGAGATAGATAAATAGATAGAGATATACTAAGAGATACAGTAGAGAGATACATAAAGATATATGAATATATATAAAGATAGTTATTTAAATGGATAAATATAAAGAGAGAGATAGATACAGATTTTGAAGAAGTAAAAAGCATCATACAAATTTACATTCATTCAACATGTGCAATATACTGTACGTATATATAAACAATACCCCCGTATAGGTATAATGAAACTTAAACTGTTGTCAGCACTATTATTAACTATCAGTTTACTAATACATGTTGTTGTGGTGGCAGAGAGCGAGTGTGGGTGGACAGACACTGATGAACACCGCCGCAGGAGTGAGTTTTGTAGTCACATCGAGGGATACGGGTCTGTGTGTTCCTGTACCGACCCAGCTCCTCTGGCCTTCACCACCGACCCTGTGAGTGACTTGACTTGTTTTGTTACTTGTGAGTGTGTGTGTGTATGTATGTATGCTTGTGAGGCTATGTGTTTGTGAATATTTGTCTTTTTTTGTGTGTATTGTATATATATTTTGTGTATTTTTGTTTGTGTTTATAATAGTGTGAGTTGTGTCAGTGTGAGAGATTAGATTTGAATTTTGCCATGGACAGCAGCTAGTTTATTGTGCACCCATAGAGAGCAGAGGTCACATTGGGTGTTTATCACAACCCAGTGGTCAGGATATTGTGGAATTTATTATTATAGAGTATTTACAGAGTATTTCCAAAATTTAATTTGTTTGTTTAGTTCTGTACATAATAGATGACTTGTTGTCCCAGAAAATGAAAATGTACATTGTATATTTGATTTCTAACATGTGAACCTGTGACAATTAGTCTCAGCATCATGAAATGGCATATATTTATTGCTGATTTTGTCCAACACAAAAAGCCCTTAATTTTCTTGCTCTGGGTACGGTCCTGCGTAACACTCATTATGAACAACAACAGAAGGATCAGGTAAACATTAAGACAGTAGACATGTGTTTATTTTCCATCACACCTGTGTTGTCCAGTGGCTAGGTAAAAGTCTACCCTCCTTCCCCCTCACCCAGTACCAATTCTCACCAAATGAATGTCAAGCCAGTGAGGAAAGACACTCCAAGAGCTGCCTGATGCAACTGATAATGATAATAGTGTGGGTGTGGTTAACTGCTCTGTAACTCACCAAGACTGTGCTTGTTGCCATATTGAGGAGCTGAATTTGCTCAGGATTTAATTTGAGACACGATCAAATAATGCTATACCTTGTACTGTACAGTATTGACATTTTCTGATACATAAGCCATGAAGAACTTTGTATGTACAAGATTGACTTTATGGATTTTGATGGGGAGTGAGTGAGTGTGTGTGTGTGTGTGTGTGTGTGTGTGTGTGTGTGTGTGTGTGTGTGTGTGTGTGTGTGTGTGTGTGTGTGTGTGTGTGTGTGTGTGTGTGTGTGTGTGTGTGTGTCTGTCTGTGTCTGTCTGTGTGTCTGTCTGTCTGTCTGTCTGTCTGTCTGTCTGTGTATGTATGTATGTACAGTATATATGCCTGCCTGCCTGCCTGTCTGTCTGTTCCCCCACATCCCTCCCTCCTTTCCCCCTCCCTGCCCACATGGGCCAAGATAACACTAATGAACCTTCCGGTCCCAACTTCCAGTGTGGGTCGCTCCCGCCACTAAATTTATGAAATTATCGGAGTTGATAGTTGAATGGGTTAAGAGGGGAGGGGGCAGGGTGGGGAGGTCTGATTAATGCTAAAAGTCCCGTGTGTGTGTGTGTGTGCGAACTCGTTTTCTTTACTTTATTCATTTTGTCTCAGTGTTATACTATATTGAGCTTTATAGTACAGTATCGGCAAGCAATATTGTCTCATTAGTTCTGTCTATTTTATTATTGGAGTCTTGCCTTATTACTTAGGGTGGCCAGGATCAAGCACATACACGTAGTCTCCCTTGAACCCTTCATTTGGTGATGCTCATTAATTCTTACTGTTCAGGTGTGGTCCTCCCCTTCCACATTATGGCCCTAAATATTCATCTGCTTCACCTCAGTTGGTTCACACACACACACACACACGTCACCAGTCACTAGCACATCCTTCCGTCCAATTTATCATTCGTCTATGTGTTCTTTTCTTATTCATTCTCATTGATTTTTTGTTTTGTTTTTCAGATAAACTTAATTAGGTTTTCAGGATCTTATGTGAAATTTATCAAGTTTTGTAATCTTTTTTATTCCAGTTAAGTAAATTATATTTGAAAGACATGAGAAAAACTTTGATGTATTTTTGTAATCCAATTACTGTCCATCTTCTACCCGGGTAATTGTACCATTGGGGGTTCATGTAAAGTTATGGTTAAAATTCCCGGAATGCTTGGCAATATCTGGTCTCTATTTGTGGGTCACATATATCTAATAACACTGCTTTTTATCACATGCTGGAGCAACAAAACGGAAGAATAATACTCCTTAGTAAAAAGAAAAATCTGAGGAAATGTGTTAAAATTCCAATCCCCTTCAATTTAAATAATCCTCAAGTACTTCCATGACAGATATTGTCATGTTTCCATGAAATTTTGTCCACAACTGTGCTGCTGAATTCTCATCATACACTTGACTTTCTAACCTTTCATTACCTTAAGGCCTTACTGATATAATGTTGCTCTTGGATAGAAGGATTCATTTGATTACGGGATCTTCTGATAACTAGAAGATGGTTATTACAGTTCTGGTCATTAGTTTTAAGGACATACACAACACAGTATCAATATGTTACAGTAATATATGATTATTATATTTAAATATTTATTTACAGTTACTAAACAACCAGGTGCATGATGTGCCCGTTGCCATCATTGCCAGCAACCGTCCTCACTACCTGTACAGGTTGGTAATGTCCTCACTGTGAAAAGGTTGGGTTAGAATAGACACTGTACTTTGTTGAATAATACCTGTACTGTATTGTACTGTACTGTATTGTACTGTACTGTACTTTACTGAATTGTATATGAAAAACTTTATCCTAAAGAAAGTCTGGTCTACATCACTAATGTATTTTGCAACAGGTCTTTGCGTTCCCTGCTGGCAGCTCCTGGCGTCAACCCAGAAATGATCACAGTCTTCATTGATGGTTACTATGAGGAACCTCTCGCTGTGACCAAGCTGTTTGGGTTAAGAGGGATACAACACACACCACTTGGGGTGAGGAATACCGGTATACTGTATTTTATTTTAGAGGAAAATGTTAAATATAACCAAGGAAGATGTATGGTGGTCATGTTTAAGAGAACTGTACTGTACTGTTGCTTCTAAACTGTGTGTCAGGGGAAGAGAAATGTAGCTGAAGAAGAGGATAGGAAGTGTGGATCGAGTGTTTGTACTAAAGAACAAGACTGAAAGGAATCTTATGAAGGATTGATTAAAGTTCATGGTATTTGAAGGTGTTTGTTGACATGATTGGATAAGATGGAGGTAATATGTAGAGAGGAAGGTTTGTGCAGAGAGACAGGATGACATGTGTGAGTGAGCAGGCTGGTGGTATTTCAATAGTACAGTATTTTGATGTCTGTATTACTGTTCTGACTTGTTTTTTTCTTCAGATGAATTCTGTTGCATAAGTTTGACATTAATGATATGAAGATATACCGAGGAGGTGTAGTTTTATTGTTAAGTGATGCGTAATACACTGAAAGTTCATTACATTAGGAACCTTGAGTACAGAGACAGATTATAGCATCTTAATTTGCACTCCCTCGAGAGATGTAGAGTGAGGGGTGACATGATAGAGGTGTATAAATGGAAGTCAGGGCTGAACAAAGGGGACATTACAAAGGTACTCAAACTATCCAACCAGGAGCGAACTCTAAACAATGGTTTTAAATTAGACAAATTTAGATTTAAGTGCGAAATAGGTAAACATTTGTTTGGAAATAGAGTAGGACGAGTGGAACAAGTTATCAAATATCATCATTAGCTGGATAGCTTCAAATGTAGGTTGGATGGATATATGAGCATTACGGGTTGGGTGTAAATGGGACTGCCCAGTATGGGTCAATAGGCCCGCTGCAGTTTCCTCCATTCTTGTTATGTTTTTATAGAAGGTGCTCTTACCTTCACTTGGTTATAATAAAGATATAGTGGACAGTACAAGATATGTTATTGGTATGATAGTTATGCTTTTACTCAATGAAAAATTAATATCAGGTGTGATATCAATTCCTTCAGGTGAGAAATGCCCGTATAGCCCAGCACTACAAGGCGTCACTGACAGCCACCTTCAACATCTTCCCAGCTGCTCGTTATGCCATCATTTTAGAGGAGGACCTCGATGTCTCTCCGGACTTCTTTAGGTAAGTTCCACTGGGTGTCGGAGGAAATGTTGTCTTCATACGTTAAGAGTGGATATTATTTGAGGATGTTACAGTATATTCATAAGTACAGGTATACCTGGGTAGGGTAGGGTAAGTACATCAAGTGTAAGTTAATGTACAGTGAGTGTGTGTATATAACTAATGAAAATATGGAAAC